TGGGGCGTCCCCTCCGCGTCGTCCTGTGAGAGGTGCTACGCCGTGAGATGGCCCGGCCGCACCGGTTCGCCTGTGTTTTTGGTAGTCCGTGGGCCTACTGTGTGGAGTGGACCGCTTTGGTCCATCAAGCGTCAAGCTCCCAAAGCGAACATCGGACCGTTTCCCTCGACCGAAACCTTTCCCCCTTCTACCACGCGCTAGCCCCCTAATTCGGCGTTACGATACGCCGACGGAGGACCGCCACGTATTCTCTCGTCGGACTGCAATGGGACCTGCTTCGTGGTGGTCTGACCTGCCTTACCCACTCACAAGGGAACCCCGCCAAGTGTAAATTCCCGATTTTCATTCTACTTTGGGAAATTGTTGGTCTAAATATGTCATCGAAGGACACGTGAACGATTTTTGCTTAAATTCATATTTAGGGGTCATTTTGGGTATTTGTTCAAAAAGCTGCTATTTCCATTATTTTTTAAAACTTTCAAGAAAGCTTCCTATGGGGTAACTCGTCGAATTGCGGCCCTCTGGGCGAAAATTTCGTCCGTTTTGCTCTATCTGAAGCCGTTTCGGCGCTACCGCCATGTTAAGGAGGGAAAATGTACGGGAATCATTAGGGCTTAAGAGAAGCGGTTGTAAAAAGCAGTCCCACAAAAAATGTTATAAAGCAAAAGTTGTAGAAAAATGAAAGCTCTTTAACTTTTGTTTCATAACATTTCATATGAATTTGAGCAACAAATTTTGATGTGTCCTCCGATGACACATTTAGACCAACAATTTCCCAAAATAGAATGAAAAAAGCAGTCCCACAAAAAATGTTATAAAGCAAAAGTTGTAGAAAAATGAAAGCTCTTTAACTTTTGTTTCATAACATTTTTTGTGGGACTGCTTTTTACAACCACTTCTCTTAAGCCCTTGTGATTCCCGTACATTTCCCCTCCTAAACGTGGCGGTAGCGCCTAAACGGCTTTAGATAGAGCAAAACGGACGAAATTTTCGCCCAGAGGGCCGCAATTCGACGAGTTACCCCATAGGAAGCTTTCTTGAAAGTTTTAAAAAATAATGGAAATAGCAGCTTTTTGAACAAATACCCAAAATGACCCCTAAATATGAATTTAAGCAAAAATCTTTGATGTGTCCTTCGATGACATATTTAGACCAACAATTTCCCAAAGTAGAATGAAAATCGGGAATTTACACTTGGCGGGGTTCCCTTGTCAGATGGCGGGGTTAAAAGATCCCGGCCAATTTCTTAGTCACGCTGCACCGCCTGCAGGTGTGCGCGGGGGTGCTTGTTGTATCTAACCTTGGTGCCTTAGGCCCGGCCTCAGGGCGCGAGTGAGTAGGCAACCCGCTCGCACGGACGGGTATGCGGTGCAGGATAACTTGGAAAGCGCTCGGTGTTTATCTGCCTCCTGGAGCAGAGCGTCAAAGGCGTCACACGGCCGGGCCCCGTCCGGGCACCTCAGTCGGTCGCGTCGCTCGAGCTCGCCGACAACGAGGGAATGTGGGGCGAGGGCTAGAGGCAGGTGGGGCGGTGCAGCTGGGCGCCGCGCAGCCCAAGTGGCTGGGGTACCTCCCTGCCCGCGGGTACTCCCCGCGGGTACCGCTGACCGGAGGCGGGGCACGGCCACGCGTAGATTATTGAACGATCAGCAGCGGCCGAGGCGGCGGCCGCTCTGGCTGAGTGGAGTGAGCGGGATATCGGAAGCAGCAGCAGCAGCCAAACCGCGGGACGGGAGCCGTCGGCCGTTCACGTTCACCGCATAGGTCCGGTTAGAATTATCGTTACTATTCCAAGCGCAAAACGTCCGAGTGGATTTCAGTGTATCGAGATTCCACACACACACACACACACGCGCGCGCGCGCGCGCGAATCAGATTTTATTTTCTGAGAAGTAAATAGCTCCGGGTTCGTCAATCCCTTGCTTGCGCGGCGCAGTATTTAGAAACCAGTCGGGTGCTCTCTACCTTCCCTGGACTCGACGAGTTGGCTCTCTGGCTGGCGAGTTGCAGGGAGTCTAGTGAAGGAGCCTGGGGCCCTGAGGCCCTGACCGACCCCCCCCCCTCCCTCTTCCGTGTCTCTCTCACCTCACGTTCGCGATGCGGTCCACTTGCACGCTTCGTAGTTACTCTGTGCATTTGCATCCCAAGATTGGATACTTGCGCGTTTGCCGGCTCGTAAAAAATCATTTCTTTCTGATTTTGTCGTTTTTCGATTTTGAAGGGAACGCTTTCCGGTGACCTGAAGTTTTCTCAGAAGTATATTCACACTTTCACGCGACGGAAAGAGAGCCTTGAGTAAGAGAATGATTGTGTCAGTGCATACGATATATCGGTGAAAAGGGTCGGTCGTCGTTATTTCGCACTCGGTCGGCAGTAGTCGTGTTCCAGTTCCATTCGTGCCCGTCGGAGGGAAGTCCTTCCGATCGATGACTAATAAACTAATAAATTACATCCTCGGCTGCCGCGCGCTGTGCGGCGCTGTGTATCAGCCACTCGTGCATGCCGCTATTGACGAGGCGCTCGGCCGGGAGGCGCGTGGCTCTGGGCGGGGCCGGTCGGCTCGGGGTGATGTGGATGTGACGGCCGCCAGTCCGTTACGGGACGGGGTCCAGGACCGGAGCGTCGGCTCCTCAGCGGGAGGTGGCCCGGACCCGGCACCGGCCCGGCCCGGCCCGAGGCAGGACAAACGGGTGACGATCACATTCGGCTGGGCAGCGAGGCGAGATGGAGAGACAAGAAAAAATATGTTGCAGTGATGAACGGGAACGGGACCTGCTGCTCTGTTGTCGGTGCCGAACGTCTGCATTTGGCGGTCAGAGTGCGTCGTCGACCAGGGCAGTCGGACTGATTTGTTGCCGCGTGAACCCTCGTGTGCGGCTGTGGAAATAGTTCCGCGGATACACATTTATAAACATTTGGAGCACGAGGCAAATGCGTTGTCGGAAGCGATGCATTTTAGACAGTCCCGAAGACTGTCTCTACCAGAAGGAGAAACCTTGCCCCCTCCCACTCCCCCAGGTTCTCGATTAGAACAAGGCCGGCCGGACAGGCCCAGGGGATAGAAAATGGTCAAACTCATGTCAAGTCAAGTCATTTGACGAATATGATGTCACTTTGACGTCATTTTGAAGTCAAAATTACCTTGCATTGATTTCAAAATGGTATAAAATGACGTCAAAATGACATCATTTTCGTCAAATGACTTGACTTGACATGAGTTTGACCATTTTCTGTCCGCTGGGGGTGCAAGGGCTCGTGAGTTTTGTTTAAATTTACACTCTTAACTTCCTACAAATAAATTTGCGTTGTATCATTCGAAGAAAAGGGAATTCCTGTATTTTGTTGCAAGACCATGCTTCGCATTACAAAGAATGCACACCAACTGGCTTAGCCACAGAGGACGGGATTCACCCGGAATCGATACTGCTGGAGAGGGAAGGCCAAAACGTTCCAAACTTCTCAATCGCCCCGCATGAGCGCGCCACCACCACCTGTGTTCCTCGCATCGCCGCCGCCCCGCATCCCGCCCTAGTGTTTATCATCAGACTTTAATTAGAGTTTGGTGCGGAAAGCTTTTATAACAGTTTGAGTAGTTATCGGATAATCATCTCTCACAAGTTTGTCTTCATTATCCTTGGAATATTGCATCGTCTTTCAGTGGCCAACGGTTTTGGACTGCTTTCAACATCATCCGTTGAGGTTATGAAGGTATTTCTTCGCTGGAACTCTAAATCTCTTTGATTCTGTAGTAATGTTGCACAAGTAAGTTTTTACCTGCAGGATGAGGCGACTGGTGTCTAGAATTCAAATTCTTTGAAAATGGCACATAATGTAAAGTGCGCCCGGTCTTTGCGCACCTTGGTCCCATCCAGTCTCTGATAAAAGTGTGTGTGCGTTGAAGGCAACTTATCCAATGCCACATGATCAGGTGCAGGTGAGGTTTTTGCAATACAAAAACCTATGACTAAACAATTTGTGAGATGTTATCTGGAGTTTCAATGGAGCATATAGTTACGCAATCAATTTTAATAGTAAACTGTTACTCGCTTTCATCCAGATAATAAATTATGATCTAATACAAAACGTTGCAATGCTAATTCTTTGTATATTAAAAAATCTTTATTTTAAACTCTGTTACTTTTTACCATACAGAAGATTTTTATCTCACAGATAGACCATGCCGTATTTTACAATTGTGGCTCCTTTGTATTACGGTTGCACTAAATGTTTGGTATGTTACCAGTCTCAACCTTTGTAATACAAATATTTATCTCTGTAGGAAGATAAGAGTTTATTGTTTTAAATGGATCACACACCCTAGTAACATGAAACTATCGATCGACAGTCTATCAATATGTGCGACATTCACCCGTCAGTCGATCGTTACTTTCAAATCACTTGGGTATCAGGGGTGGGCGATTCGCCCCGTCCACATTCTTAGAGTGTACAGCACGCAGGCGTGCGGAGGAGCTTCGCCGTTACACAAAACTGCGAAGTTCAGCCTATGCTATCTTTCTCATAGCGCCTGATAGGTATGCAACATCATTCCTACAGTGCATGCGTGCACTGTGGGGTGGCCTACCCTGAGTCTTACAGGCGCCAAGCAACAGTAACTTGTCGGATGAATCTCTTTGTAAAACGGGGCGAGTAGGCAACCCGCTCTCGCGCTTGCGTGCGGTACAGTCTAACTACGGAAGTCGGTGAAGCAAATCAGCCACCCAGTAGAATATAGACATATTTTTGATTGGGAAGGGAAAGGGGCGTCGGAGGGGAAAATGGGAGTAAGCATAGCATAATCTCGGTGGTGTAGAGAACTAACGAGGAAAGGAAAAGGAACACGGCGCAAAATTGCACATGACTAGCGGCCAACACCGCGAGGCTCGACGCGTGTACACAGTGGTTTATACGCCTGCTCTCCGCAGATCTGCCCGCGGGCGCACCTCTGCGGGCCCCGGACCCGCTTGCAAGGTGGGCTGCACTCTTTTCACTTTGGCCGCGGATAGGGGGCCGCGGATAGGGGTGACCCGCTCCGCACTGGCTCCGCAAATAGCCCCGAGTCTAGCTCGTCGTCCAGCTCGTCGTTCAGCTCCGCGTCCAACCCCGCGTCCAGCTGCGCATCTAGCTCGGCATCTAGCTCGGCGTCTAGCTCGGCGTCTAGCTCGGCGTCTAGCTTTGCGTCCAGCTCAGTACCTAGCTCCGCACCTAGCCTTGCGTCCAGCCCCGCGTCCAGCTCTGCAGTCCGGCGCAGCGGCGCGGTGCGCGTCGCTATGCAAAATGGACCAACTAACTTTCTCGGCCGATCGTCTGGTCGATTTGAGCGTCCGCCAAGTGCAGCGCGGCGGGGCGTCGGGACGGCGGGGCGGGCCGGACGCCTCCTGGTCCCCGCCATGCCAGACTTGCCGATAGCATCAGCCGCGCTCCTCACTATGTACTCTCTGCTTCCAGGAGGATGTGAAGCAGCGTCTCTCCACTGCGAGTGCGTCCCCCAGCAGCGGTCGCCAGCATGGGCAACTCTTACTCCAGCCCGGCGGCGGCGGCCGTGGCGGCCGAGGACGGCGCGGAGGCGGCGCGCGCTTCCAGCTCCAGGGGCGGCGGCGGCGGCGGCGGCGGAGGTGGAGGTGGCGAGGGCACAGGTGGCCGTCGTGGGGCGGCGCCGCCCGAGCAGGCGGACACCACGGCCCGGCGGTTCTTGGAGCTGCTGTGCGTTGTCCAGCGCGGCTGGAGCCAGGTGAGGCCACTCAAGAAAAAAAAAATCTGAAAAACGCTAAAAAGTTACAAAGTTATAAAGTTTTGCTTGCGCGTCGACAGATGCGCGAGAGCGTGGACGAGCTGGGCACGCTGACGAAGGGCACGCTCAAGCGGAACAAGGGCGGCGGTGCCCAGGGCTCCTCGACGGGGAACCCGGCGGGTGCCGACGGCCTGGAGTCGCGTCAGCGGCACTACAAGCAGCGCAAAGAGGTGGTGAGGAGCGTCACCTTCAGCGCCGGCCAGCACGACGCCAGGTACGTGCGCACTCGTAAAGCCACATAATTCCTGTACAACGACACGGCTCGCGCATAATCTAGTCTGTAAACAGAGATGTGTTCTGGAGGCCACAGCGAGGGTCTCGTTGAATAAATCGGCGTAGTTAACATTTTCCTAGCTGAAATAAATTTACGCCTAAAAGCCCAACGTTTTATCCTTGCAGGAGGGTGCAGCCGGAGCCCTCGCTGCGGCGCTGCGACAGCCACGACAATCACTACGCGCTGGGGCTGGCGCCGCCGCACGCCCCCCGCGGGCCCTGCGCGCCCCGGGCCGCGCCGCGCCGCGTCTGGGACGCCCGCAGCCTCCGCTCCCTCACCGAGGACGCCCTGACGGACGCCGAGCTCGAGCTGGACCTGCCGGTGAGTAGCGAGGAGTGGTTGTTTGAGGGGTACCTCGCTGTAAATTGAAGCGTACACCGGATGTTGTATTTTTCCCCTTAATTTTTGTTGATTTTTCAGTGTATTTCCTGAGGGTATACACTGACTTTTCTGAGACCATGGTTTGTGACCGCAGGGCCCGGCGGCGCGCGGAGGGCGGTTTCTGCAGGACGACGGTGCCGCTTCGTGCAGCAGCGGCTGCAGCGACAGCAGTTGCGACCGCAGCGGGTGCAGTTCCTGCTGCGATCACCACCGGTGAGTCCCCCCCCCCCCCGACCTCCTGCCCGCCCCTGGCGCACATGCAACACTTCTGGCGGAGACGCGGCCGCTGCGCCGTGAGGGTAGGCAACACCTTCGGCAGATGCACCGCGACGCCTGAGGGTAGGCAACACTTTCAGCAGGTACAATGCAGCGCCCGAGGGTAGGCAACACTTGCTGCTCCTGGACTTTCTGGACGCTAGCGCCCGTGGCCCCGGCGCAGAGGCAACACTTCGTTCTCGTTGGACCGGCTCTAGTGGTGGAAGGGAGGAGGCGAAGTAGCCGTTCGGTGTTCGGTGCGTTTCAGTTCGGTGAGCAGTCGCGCCGGGTGGGTAGGCAAACCATCGAACGCGATCCAAGCTGTCAGTAAAATGACTCACATTTGAAGCAGTCCGTGAACACCTGAGCAATTTTTACGTCCTCCTATTCACTCCGATGTATTTCTGGAAAAGTTTCCGACTGTTAATTTAAGGGCAGTGAAAAGTAGAGATACCACCACTCTCCGGGAACCCGTGGCGTGCGTGAGAAAATGCACTTTATTTTCTTCCTAACAGCTTTGGCGACCAAAACTTGTCTTCATCGCCTGGCCCGGCGGTACCTCTTGTTCTCCTCACTACATTTCCATGGTTGATATTTCCGTTAACTCCCCGTTCGTTTTGCATAATATTCCGGGGCCCGCCTGGCCCGGCCCTGCTGGGCCCGCGGGCCGGGCGCGGCCGAGTCTGTGGGTAGCGTTTTTTTAGACGCGATCACGGTGGAGGGAGATACGGTGGGGGCACGAGGGCTCTGCTCGTGGGTCCAGAATCTCGACAGGTTGGGGGATTAACGCCCTGGTCGGGGCCAACTGTAGGGCGCGTTCACACTACCTTCAGTCGGGGCCGCCGTGCAGGTAGGTAGGTGGGAAGCCCAGACTCAGCTTGCGCGGGACGGGCTCGTACCTGACTTCTCTCTCGCACACTCCGGCCGAGCGGGCCCGGGCGAGGGTCGGTGCCGCTCAAGCTAAGTCGGGGCGGCCCAGCTACCTGCATAGGCCGCCCCGACTGAAGGTACTCCGTACCGGCACGTTAGATAGCCCCGACTCGGCCGTTAATCCCCCAACCTGTCGAGATTTTGGACCCACGGGTCCCTATGCTGGGAGGCCCTCGTGCCCCCACCGTTTCTCCCTCCACCGTGGACGCGATGAACACGTTGTGGGAGGGGAGCAAGAGGGAACACGGCCCGGCCCAGGGGCCCGTCAACCGTGACCATCACACCGAGCATCACGCGAGCCGAGCCGAGCAGCGCGGGGGCCGGGCCCAGCCGAGCCAGGCGGCGGGGCGGCGGGAGCCGAGCCGGGTGTCGTCACGGGATGCGCACACCATACCTTTACGTACTGCGCATCACTCACACACACACACATACACGCGCTGGATTTACTGACTGATATGTGGAAGTGCGATGCCCACGGCAGCGGCAGAGGGACTCGCAGTAGCAGCAACAGGTGGAACAAAGGAAGGCCGGACAAAGCTCGCGCGCCGCATCGTGACGGGTCGAAAACCCCAGGGGGTCCGCTAAACGCGACTTTATACTTCCTTTTCCTCCCTCTCTCTCCACTCCATCTGCTACATTTTTGTTTCGTGAACCAAGTGAATTTTGTGCACTCTGTACATTTGTTTTGCGAGTTCACGACGTATACCTACTGGAGACAGCAGATCAGGGATCCCCCTCTAAATTTTGCAAAGCTAGTTATGTGCATTTCAGTTACAATCTGTTACAATATTGTATCTGAACTCAGTTATGCACGTGAAGTCCGGTGCGAAGTCCGGTGCCAATTACAACAATTAAGCATTCCAGTAAAGCTGAAATGCAGATAAATGCGGGGACGAAGAAAACGAAAATCGCTATGCTTAAACATAGTGACTTGTGACTTCCGTTTTCTTGTTCCCTGCATTCTTCTGAATTTCAGCTTTACCGGAATGCTTTACTGTCCTTGGACTTTCCGAGTGTACGGTTCTGAAGTGCGTTTCCTGTATCCTTCGGCCATTTGTTTTGAAAAGGGCAAGGGACTCAATTCTTTCGATTGTAATGCATCGCCCAAATATTCTGCGGCGCCTGTTGCACCTGGCACGGTGTGTGTGAAGTGGGTGTGGGGGTGGGTGACCCTCGCGCGGGCTCCGCGACGCGGTGCGAGGTTGGGCGGTGGCGCCCTCGGCCGCGACGGCGGTGCGGGGAACCTGTGGCGGGCGGCGGCGGCGGTGTCCTCCTGGAAGGCCTGGCGAGTGGCGCGTCGCGCCGGCAGCAGCGGCTGCAGGAGGTGAGCGAGAGGGAGCGGCGCACCCCTCGCCACCGCTCACCTGAGCGAGAGAGAGACGGAGCGAAAACAACGCCGTCCAGGCGCTCCCCCCGCCCGGGCTCGGCTCGGCCGGCCGGCAGGCCCGGCTGCTCAGTGCTCAGTGCTCAGTCCGCTGCCAACGCCGACGGCCGCCGGGACGCGTCGTGCTTGCGCCGAGTCGGGCCGCGCCGAGACGAGCGTCTAGCCGCGCGGGTTCCCCATTGGTCTTCCACCGCGAGACCGATGTGCGAGAGTCCTGAGTAGTGTGTGACGCGCTGTGTGACGGTCCTGTCGTGCTTCTGTGACTGGAAGTGATTGTTCCAGCAGTGATCCGTGCCAGTGAGTGTCTCTGTGGTGGCGTGTCGGTGCGCGCAGACAGCAAGTGTGTGACAAAAAGTGTGACGAGCTTTGAGTTTTAAGCGGAACGGGCACCGCAGTGTGCGAGTGAGTGAGTAGTGATTTCTGTTGTGTGAGGAGTAATGTCACCTGCCTTTTGGATTGTCACCGCCGTCTGGAATACTTACTAAACCACCGTGTTCGTGAAAAACACGTAAGTGCTCACTTTTGTTGATCGCCTCTTTCAAGAATTCGTATTATTTTAAGTCGGACCCACATCCTACATGAGTGAAATTTGTCACGCTATCAAGAGTACGAAAAAATGTTAGTAGTGAAACCAAAAATTCTAATCCTAGTTGGAAAAGCTATAGGGAAGTCCAAATTAATCAATCTCCAACTTTTAGATATCGATACCAGAAATACATCAACCATACACTCTACATTTGGATGAAATCTCATGTAGCTGCGATTACTTGAGTTTTCTGTGGAAAAGATCACCAGAGCTTCATGTTAAAGTATATTCGACGCATGATAAACATAGAAAAAAGTTACTACCTGAACTGAAAAAAAGTGAAGGTTTTATTCTGGCGTGTTATTTTGTTACACTGGGAAAACAAAGGTAGGATTTTGTGCCTTTTAAAGGTGCTAAATTTTACTGCCTTTAAAAAGGCGCGAAAATGTTCAAAAAAACTAAAATTTAGCATCCTTGGGGCATTTTCGTGTCTCGCCAAGAGTGCGAATTTTTTAGTGCATCTGCAAAGGCGCGAAAGTTATAAACACAAAGTTATAAAGACATAATTTTGACCTTACGACCGTGGCGACCCCGGCATACCCTCGCTAGGTGCCGCGTCTGCACCCGCGGGTGGCGGGGCTTGGTGCGGCGGCCTGCTCTTGGACGCGCCGAGCTTGTCAGGAGCGAAGTTGATTACAAAAAGCTCTGAAGGCTCGTTGCCGCTCAGGTTGACGGAGGAGAAAAACTAATACCAGAAGAAGGAGAAGAAGAAGTCGGGGAAGAAAACGTCGACGGGGGCGGCGGAAGAGTGTTATGACACTAATGACCACAGGCTGATGGGCAGCAGGAAAAGGGGAAGGGGGGGGGGGGAGAGGCGATTGGAGGATGTCCCGCAGACACTGCAGGGCGTGGCGGCCAAAGGGTGTCGGCTGGGCGTGCCGGGTGCCTTACATCAGACGCCTTAACCTTGGGGCGCGGCGGGGCGGGGCGGGTGTGGCGCGGCGCATCGGTAGCGTCCACGGCGATGCCCACGCACGCCCCGCGCAACGGGCGGCGCGACCGAGAAGAGGGAGGGAGTGGGGCGGGCGTTGGAACGGAAACGCACATTGTCACACACCATCGTCAGATCGCTGCAGCAGCGCTGCGGTGCAGAGTATACCCACCTGACAGTCCAGTCTAGGGTGTGAAATCGAGCGTGAAAGTGTGTAGCCGTTGCGCACACACGGCCGTGTGCACAACAAACCTCTCACCCCTTTTAACCCCCCCTTCTCTCGCGCTCGAGACCAATCGGATTTATCGGTTCCGTTTGCCTTTCGCTCCGCGGCGTACCAACCTGTTCTGTGCAGTGCTATGGCCTTCGGAGGGTCAAAGGTGCAAAAACCCTTTACATGCCGGGGAAATGACGGTGGTAGTGCTGGTTGCTGTTGCCTGGCGGATTCCAGTGGGCACGCTAGGGACCAGGGACCCCCAGTGGATTCCAGCGCGCTCAGTGGCCTCTTCTTCACTGGGCTGCTGGCGGGTGTAAAAGTGGCCCGTAGTTCCATAGCAACGGGCCTTGCACGAGGGAGGCCCCAGGTTCTTGCTGGGGTCGCGTTTCAGGCAGGATGGCAGGTCGGCATAGTCGGCAGGCACAACAAATAACAACATAACAGCAACAACTGCGAATAATACCGACAAGCAGGGTTGCCTGGAACCTGAATCCTGCAAATGACATTGTGAGAAATTCTTGTAAAAGTTACACAATTTTCCTTGATGTATGTTGAAAAATTTCAACTTAAAATTGTAAAATGAATCGCGACTTGGAATTCATAGACGAACAAGCAGGATGGGCTGTCGCAAATTTACGAAACATATTTTTTAAATCAAAAGTACTACGAATATTGCAAATTTACTAGGACATTTTTCACAGTGGTTGTTTGACAATGGATGCATGCACCGCGTCAGGTCACTGGACGTCGCCGTCGCCCCGCACTCACTTCGAAAAGATAACAATCGCCGCCAGCACCAGTAGCAAGCTCATGACGACGTCGACGCCGCAATTACAAAGCCGCGTGTCCCAGATCCGGGACCCGGGACCTGCGACCCTTCCTGAGGCCGGACGGGGGGCGGCGGGGCGCG